CATGCCCCTGCGTATGCAGGGAATACTATAAGTCCGACCATCTTATCAAGTATCATGCAGATCAGCTTCCATCGAATGTCTATTTATTCAAATGGCTACCACAGGCGGATCTCCTGAGCCACCCCAAAACATTGGCGTTCATATCGCATGGAGGCTACAATAGTTTACAGGTCGGTTTTTTCATTGTTCGTTTGATTTAGTGGACACTCAGTCTGGCTTGTTTTTAGGAAGCTGTCACAGCCGGCGTTCCATTGATAACCGTAGCTCTATTTGGCGATCAACCACGAAACGCAAAGTTGGCAGAAAGGCATCATTTCGCCATCAACATCAGGAAAAGCGATCTCAATGCTGACACTATAGCTGTAGCGCTGCACAAGCTTTTGACTGATAAGAGGTTTGTTCTTCGAAATGGACGCGAGAGGCGGCTTGATGGTATGAGGGACGTCACAGCGCACTCAGGCAGCCAGCCGCTGAGAGCTGTACAACAAGCGAATCCTTCTTAGCTAACCTCTGGTTGGCTAGCCGCTTGACGTGGGGGTCGAGAGATCCGAGCAGGCAAAAACTATCATCCGCTCGCCGCAATTCTCAACTGGTTGACTCAGCTTGCTATGGCATTTCACGCCTAATCAGTTAAGACCACGTGCGAACGCCATGTGCACCACGCCACCTAATAGAACGCCCAGCGCAGTTCGGCAGCGAAGGGGGGGGGGAAGGGCATTTTGCACATTCTCTGCTCCAGCTCTGGTTTACAAGTCTCACTCTGGTGAAACTTGTGAACTCAAGCTGGAGCAAGCTCGTCAAGCCACTATGGTGAAAATGCCACTTCTTGTAAGCTCATAATTAAAGTAGCTTTGTAGGTGGCTCAAAATGTCGACGAGAAGGAGTGAAAGTCAAATGCTCTTCTACCTTCCTCCCCTGTCGCCGAACTGGCCCGGACGCTCTTGCACCACCTCCTCGCTCCTGATCTCTCGGCCCACAACCGTTCACCTGCGCTCAACGACCTAAAATGAACCGCCCACAATGTCAGCGTGGACCTTAGCTCTGAGACCGGTCAGTTGGGTATAAATCCATCGAAGCGACATATCCAAACCTAACCATAAGTGATCTGAAGGGATCTGGCCTGAGAAGCTCAAAAAGAACAACTCAAGTCATGAAAGTTTGTTTCCTTTCAGCTACTCCCAGAGCATCAAGCGATTGTCACAGATGGTGAAGAAGAAACCTGTAAAAGCAGATCATCTCCTGGTCAAATGGGCTGAATTTGTTGCCGAATTCAAAACTCTGGATAATCTAGTACCTGGCTGGCACGAAAACTCAATTTTGTTCAGTATCATTCA